TCTGTACTGGGAACCTCATCAGATGTAGATCCATCAGTTTGATTTCTGGAAAATGTCTGACCACTGGCATGGTTTTTGTTTGAAACAGTTGGAAGTCTATAGTTTCTATGTAAAAAATGGACAATATCTGAAAAGGTGGATATATTATTATATAGTGTGTGCAGATTTCACAAAATTTACTGACAGAGGTCTGAAACTGCGATCTTTTGTATCATAACGGATTTCTTCACTATCTTGGTAAATCTACATTATAGAGTTATCTAAATGTTTGTAATACAGATTAGATTTTAGTGTCCATTCACGGCCGACAGTATTAGCTTCAAATCGGAATCATGTAAAGTGTCAGTTTTTAAATTGATGTTGGTACGTAGTTCTGCTGTTGAAATTTAAATGTAATTGATTTTCTTTGCCAGTGATTTATCATTGATAAGTCTGGATTTGTAAAGTCAAAGCAGGCATGGTACCTGGGTGGTTGGATAATATAAGAAGGAAAGAAAATCCAACACTGCTCTAAGAGAAATCTTACAAAAATAGCACACATTTTCTTGTACCATATCATTCACATTAATTATTATTTCTGCCAATTATGTATGAAAAGATGAAAAACATGTTGAATGCCTTTTCATATCCTATGATAAGAAGGTGCACCTCACTTTGTTCTTGCTTTGGATGTGGTACACGTGGGTTTTGGAGTAAAATATCATTTCTAGATGATATGTATTCTACAGTTCTATTCTGTGTCTGACAAGATTTTTGGTGGTCATTGGTCAAGGTTAAAGGGTCTAATATCATACCTGATCACTTAGCTAGTATACTTAATTAAGATATCTCATGAAGTTCTCAACATCTTTAGTTTATATTTACACCACTGTTTGGTAACGTCAATTTCAACACCTGATCATGATAAGATTTTGAATGTTAAAATTCAAAAGTCACAGTTAAAATGTCAAAGGTTAGATGGGGGATATATTAACGTGATCTGGGACTACATGGTAATGAAGTGGACATAAAACCACTCAAACAACCAACAATCACTTTGTATTTATTGATCACACAAGTCATGAAGCTTGTCACCAATATTTTGCTTCGAAGAGCCTGAGCCACACTAAATACTTTTATATCATGACATGGAGACTCCTTGAATTTACTAAATATATATATATATATATGTATTTCCCTAAGACATGTGCTATATATAAGCATTAATGGGCTTATTTCAATATCAAATCTGTACCTGTTATATGCAGGGCCAGACACTGAATACGTCGGCTGCTGAATACAAAGGCTACTGAACTATAGATTAAAGATTAATATTAACTCAGAAAGTATTAGGGGAATGCTTTTGTAATTAACCAACTTACCAGGTACCTATTGTAATACTTAGTTTTACCTTTATTAATTCGAAGAGGGATTTTAAATGTAACAACACTTACAATCCTATTGCTTATATACGATCAAAGGTATTAAGTATACTTTCTGTTATAAAATATGGCATTTCTTTGATTTTTTTTGATTTTTTTTACATTGGAGTTCTTCACATTGACTATATAGAACCAGTAAAATGTTTGAAAAATGGAAATGTCATTTTTATCTTATTATGGCTTAAACAAGGATTTGTTTTTCAAACTATCTGCCTGTTCATTAGAATTGTGTTTTATTTTTACTGTATTTAGTCAAAAGAATGTTTTCTTTTTCTTTTGAGGGCAGAAGTATTGAACATGAGCCTGTTCTGGAATTGCTTGGTTATATGCTTTTGGACTGTTTTAAGGATCCCCAGTCCACTGCCAAAAACTATAACTAAGTGTTGGAAACCGTTTTTTTCCCCCGGCATGACTATTAGCTTTTATAAATCAATTCTGAAAAGAAGAAAAAACATACGTTACGGGAATTTTATGAGTACATTAATAAAGATGAAATAAACAAAATATAACCAACTTCAGTGTTCTGATCGAGTGGAAAGAATTCAGCGGGGCTAGACTGGTATACTAACACTGGACTTGAGATTGTTACACTATTGCTCTAACCAAATGAGCTACGTATACCTTAGGCCTAAAGATAGCTCATTACGAAAAACCACACAGCAGTGGGACAGGGATCCTTAATTTTTTTAATTTTTCCTTTTTTTTGTGTATATTTTACAGCCCATATTAAAATGTTTTTTTTTAAAACATGTTTTTCCAAAAAATACAACTCTAAAACGAAAAATAAATTATCACGAATCCCTCACAAAGAACTTGTCATTGTAATGGTCATTTGTTGAAATTATTTTTTTCATATTTTCCGAATTGCATACATTTTTTGTAGGTACAAAGGTACATGTACTATATACATTAAGAAAAAGGAAAGAAATTCTCTGAGCCTTTCCTAATTATATATCTCATGTACACTAGGTTGATAGTTTTCTTGTGAATTGTACTGTTTTGGTGTAAAGACTTTGGTAATTTGGTATGCTTTGTACTCTACCTGTTCTAAAAGTTATTTATAGTGTCTCATTTCTTTCAAGCATTTATAATGACAAAGTTTTGCACATAGGATTGTGTCATATTGTAGTTGTATTTGCAAAAAATAATTGTCCATAGTAATTTCCATTCCATTTATAAAACATGTAAATTTGTTCAAATTTAAACCATATACTTCAGCAAGTATTCCTGTTAAATAATGATAATTCATGTTGATTATAGTATGTTTAGAGGAATAAATGTATAATTATCATTTTCTTTTAGCAGTAATATAGCCAACTCCTCAATACACCGGGGCCTAGAGTATTCATGAAACCGTTCTCGTGCTTAAGCATTGAGTCTGTGCTCAAACCTTCTTTATTGCAGCTGACTTTAAATCATGTAACAGGATCCAAAAGTCAAGTTTAAACATAGAAAACAGTATTCAGCCCTTATTCAAGTCTTCCAATTTGTGCCAGATCATCGACAAAATGTAATTTTGTATTAATTTATCAATGGAATAAGAAATTGGGCTTTGAGCAAGAGAATGGATTCATCAATATAAACCCGGATGTTGAATGTTATAGCAAATCCTCTGGCCCTGACACCAGACTTGGATAATTATATTGACAGATAGATGTCTGGTGTATCTATCTGTCAACATTTCTAAGCCTGGTGTCAGGGCCAGAGGAAACTTGGGCTAGTGCCACTGGAAAATTTGATTCCGCTGGGGAACATATTTAAATCCAAAAAGGGAACATGTCTCAGTGCTGTTGACAATGCATGGCAGGGGTTAATTGTTTACTCTCAGAAACAGAATGATACTTTAATTAGAACCCCATAGTGTTTGAGGTCCACAATTCAATAATCAGTCAATCAAAAGACATTGCTGTTTTCAATTGATGCTAGACACTATTTGGCTGCCCTGCTAGCATACAAAAAATGTGCTGTTTTGTATGAACCAAGGGGTTCTGTATGTGTCACTTCATATTTCAGATAGTAAAGTTTCACAGATTAACATTACCCCAGCCGTGCAACAGCAATTTAGTTATGTTCCCTTTTCTGGATTTGGATATACTACCCTGCAGAATTTTATGTTAGCACCCAAAGACCTCTGATTAAGAGTTGATCAGACACTGAGTAAACAAACAGTAAAAATGTCTGGGCCCTGTCGGGACCAGTAGTGAGATATCTGAAGGGGTAATACTTATGCTGTATATCCAATAAATTGAAAGATTACACTGTAATAAGTAAAAAGGAATGAATAAACAAATGTTCAAATTGGTTATACATGTATGTTTAAATATTATACATCAGATTCTGTAATTCATTAACACACTCTTAAAGCCTGAACAATAAAAACAGATTATAAAGCCGAAAAATGTATATACAAACCGAAAGTAGAACAAATACCATACTTTCTTGAGTGTGCTTACCACTCAGACTACCCTAGGCCTACACCCCCCCCCCCCGGTATACCAAAAAAATCTACTTTGTTCATATATGCATTTGATATGTTAGTCTTGCAACTGGAGTCATAATAATTCAAAATAATGAGGTGGTCACATATGGCTGTATGGAAGTTTGTATTTTTTAACTGTTGGGTGATTGAATCATGATTCCATAGTATTCCAGGTATTAATTGCCTGTAGCTTAATTGGTAGAGCGGTAGACTGGAAAGCTAGGGAGAGCTGGCTCAATCCCCAGTGGAAATAAACTTCACTTTCACTGTTAAACATAGAGTCTGTGGTCCTCCCTGTTATAGTCTGATTAATATCAGATCTTTGCATCGCTCCAGTTCACTGATATGTCACATGGAGCGATACGAAGATCATATTTTTTAAGTAGATTGTCTCTGTGGTGTCAGAGTTGTATTGGTGTTTGAGTGCCAACACATTTAAAAGGGGATGTAGCAGATATTATTGTTCTTACTGCCTTTTTACTTTAGGCTAAAGGAAATTCCCTTTAACTGCATTGGTGTAGAGCAACAAAGCTTATCATCACTGAGTCTTGGTAAAATAAAAACTTTTGGACTCATTTCAAATGAAATTGAAACTCATTTAAAACACTTTTATGACCATGTATATAAGGTTGTAAATTTAGTCTCTGTTGTATGCTTAGTATAAAGCTGGGTTCCCAAAGCTTCATCAGCCCTCATTTGTGCTTTGTGACACAACCCTTTAGTACTCAAGATCCTTAGAACATGCTTTATTATCGCAATAGTAACTGCATCTTAAAAATAAAACAATATTGAAGAAAATGTCCTTAATTGTTGTTTTCTTCGAGACATTATTGTGATTTTATGACATGACTTATCAGTATGATATGGGTGATACAAGTTTGCTTTATCATCCAGAAAGTAGAGTAAGAAAATGATGTGTAAAAAGTTTGCTAATTTTTGGTAGATATCAGATTTTAACAGTGTCCAATCTTTGTTTTGTGATACAGTATTAAAATTATCATATTTTACATTTAGAGAAGTCATTGGTATAAATTGCAGACTTGTTTGAGTTGTGGTCTGGAGCTAAACATTACTGTAACCTACTCCTATTGTATTTACAGGTGAAGAAGATTGCCCCTGAGTATTACGACAACCTTCCCTGTCATCACTCGTGGGTCAAGGTCATCTACAACTTCATCACTGATCCAGAAATTGGACCATACTCGCGCATCCGCAGGAAAATGAAGGATGAAGATACAGATGGAAAGAAAGAATGAATGAAAATTTAGACGGCCAAGAAATATTTTTATATTGTACTGTATTAAGACCATCAATTTAGAGTTTATTATGTGATGGTTCCCTGGGCTTAAAGTTCCTCTTTCAGAGTATTTCTTTAAGTTCTATGAATTTATCAAAACTATTACACACCTTTTTATAATTTCTTATATATAGATACATTATAACAGGATAATGAAATAGCATTTGTTTGAATTTCTACTGAACTGCATTATATATGGGTGGGCTTATTACCAGACATGGGCTTATTGCTGGATAAATATGGTATATGATAGTTATGTGCTGTGTGTATGTCTGTCTTATATATTGAGGGATACAGTACCAATTGTTTTTTCATAGTTTTACTGGAGAGACGGCACCTAGACATTGTTTTCCTGTACATGTATACCTGATTACTTCATGGTTTGAAAAGTAAATATGTTTTACTCATCAAATGAGAGGTGTGATATTTGTACGAAGCATGTATATCAGGTTAAATCAAAATGTGTTAATTTTAAATATTAGAGGTGGAATATCTTTTGGCCTACGACATGTATTTTCTATTACTGATTTTAGAGTTATACTGATATAGAAATCAAATTCACATTGCTTTCCACAAAACAAAGGTCACTTTAAGAATCCTTATTGCACAGGGACCTGAAAATATGTATTGGACATCAGTTCAGACCTATCCTCATGTATACAGAAGTGGATTTTTCAGGGGTTAAGACAACATTTTGTAAAATGATGGCACACTATATTTTTATGAAGAGGTTCCCCTAAGGTGGTTGTTAGTTATCATGCTTAGCTTTAGGAAATAAATTTTCAAATTGTAAGCCTGTCTTTTTCATTTTGAAAATTAACCAATGAGAGTTAGATAAACATGATAACGAGCCATCTCGAGTTTGAGGGTCTCTTTCCCCCATAATGTTTGTATCATATCTGAAGAACCGTATGGTTCTCTTGGACATTGAGGACTAGATCAGGGAAACAATGGTTATGAATCATGTTGTCACAATGAAAGATGACAGTGCAAAGCGTCGTCATGTGACATCATAATTAAAAGACTGGCCAATGAAACCACTAGCTGGTTGTTACCCACGTATGTGTAAGATGTTTACCAACTATTTGCATGTGTATCGTTTGCCTGAGGAGTGAAGAAATATACACATAATATGGGAGAAATGCAAACATACATTTTGTGATAAGTCCTCGGGCCTCTGTGATGTTATTGGGAATATTGAAATTTATATGACATTACCACTGAAGGTGAAAGTGGATGGGTTGATCACTGTGTTCCCTTTTGGCTTTATCAAATTCGTCTCTGGAAAATATATTTCACAATCATCATCATCATCATCATCATCATCTAAAGTTCATCTACAAAATTAACACAAAACTCGTATCAAATAAATATCAATGGTTACTCTTGGTCCAAGCTTTTAGGTTTAGCCTTTCATAAGGGATTAAATGGTCCTCAGGAAGTTAGCACACTTGGCAAATAGAGATGTAACATAAGGGTGAGGACCATTCAATACCTGATGGTGGGCTAAGCCTGAAAGCATCGGTCAAGACTGTGGATATTTATTTACCAGTAGGAACTTTATGATAGACAGTTAGTGTTATCAAATAGCCTACAAGTAGTTTGTTTTTATTGCCAAGGTATTAAGCAGCCATAATTTTGTTTTCATTAGTTTAAAACACACTGTTGAACAATCCTGTTATAATTGTACATTGTTAATGTTAATTGTGAATTGTTTATTAGATTTTGACATGTTGTTTATTGTTAGAATTGTTAATTTGTTGCTTTAATTATCCTCATTAATGAGATTATCTAGATTATTCTTGCCAAATGCTTCTGCTTCAAAGTAAAACAAAAAACTAAGAAAATACATTAATTACTAAATTCTCAAAATGTTTGTTTTGAATCGCTGTCTATGTTATTACATTATTATAAATGCTTTCTTTAAGATTATGGCCTATGAAAGTATTACTGGAACTGTGTTCTATATTATGTAGTGTCATTAATCTCGAATTTGGTATTCAGAAAAATCAGGAATTTTCTTTCCTGGATTCTTATATTTATAATCAAAATAATTTGAAATTTCTAGGATTTTTTTAACGTCTTTCCATATTTCGGATATCGCTCTTAACCTATGTTGTTTAATTTGTTTGTGTTTAATGCCTGTTATTGTGATGAAAACTTTTGAAATTTCTGGTACAGCGATACATTTTACTAGTGAACCTGTCTAAAATGAATAACACCCAGTCCTGTAGTTTGGGTCAGTATAAACAAGTGTTCAGACTAAACAGGTACAATTAACAAAGAAATATAAAAACGGTTGGAGCTTGATGAAAGTTATAATGTATATATGTTAAATTCACTATTGATTCATACCCATGCTATGCATTGTAAATTAACATTTAAGCCTGCAATTGAAAAGTGGTTTATCTGTCGTTTTAGCTTTATTTGCTACATTTGCAAACATTGTTTTGTTGATTTATAATTGTGCTTTAACCAAATCCAAAGAGTTTTCAGTGCATACGATTAGTTCATTTTTAAATTTTTGATTTAAAAGGAAAATGATAACCCAGGTTTGACAATACCTTGATACAATATCAAATAAGGTTTAGTGGCAGTGGCAGATTTTTTTTTTAAATTTGACTAAAACAAGTCCACCTCTGTTTTGTCCGAGTGTAGATTCCAATAACCTGGGTAATGTTATTATGATTTGTATGGACTGGTTTTCCTTTGATTCATCTGAAATGAAATAAGTTATGGAATGGTCAAAGGGAGATCATTTGTATCAGTTATTTTTTTGTACATGTTCGTATAAATACAGTGTACATAATGACATGTTAACCTTAGTTAAATTTGTTTGTGTGTCAAATTTATTAATATCGGTGATGAAAGGGCCTGACCAAATATTGTGTTTTTTATTGGAGGAGGAGGTGGGGGTTTGGATGGGGGAGGCAGATAACTAGCTGGATTGTAAGTCAAGAGTTGATTAGATTAAAATCAATGCCAGCAATTTTAACAGTATTTCTGAGTACATGTGCCTTATGTGAAGTTTTCGAGTTGTTTGTGATATCATCCTCAACTGTATTTTTTGATCACATGCTACACTGTTATCCAATATATCCACTTTGTATTTCAATTATATTTTTTACAGATTTCTTTTTACTGAGCATGGATTTCAATAAAAAAAAAATCTAGACGAAACAAGCAGAAGGAATTCTGTGGAGTCAGGTCTGAAAGCAAATATTCACTGGTCTAAGGGAGATAACTTTTTTGTAAAACAAATTCACTGATCTAAGGGAGATAACTTACGACGCTTAACAAAAGATTTCGTTTGTGTAGTGCTAGCAACATATTGTCAATCAAAACCATTTGTAGTATGGTGAATTGAAATAGTAAATATCTGAACCCCAAAGTTTTCTCATTCATGTGATTTCTTTATCACTTTCTACTGATCTGACAGACAAAATATGTGTGGTTGACAACAACTGTAGCCAAGAGAAAAGATCTTTTTTTCATATTTATTTTATAATATCAGGCTTAAGAGCAACAACTTGGAGAAAGCTTTGTTTAGTTTCAGATATGTCATGTTTTACTTGTTTTGCTTATACTTATTGCTGACAATTAAAGTTCTAAAAAATATTTGATATATTCATGGTGTTTTTGTGGTTATTTGTTCAAAACTAGTTTTTGCTAGTGTTATTACAGTAGAGGGGGAAAAAATGGATCATCTCAAGCTACATGTGACCAAATGTATCTCAATCTTATATCAATCCCCTGTGCTTTTTATGAAACTCCTTGTGGCTCATTTCATCGGGATCATCTTCACACTTGGCATTCAGCTCAAGTTCTTTTCCCCTTCAAAGTTGGAGGCTCTTAGTCATGTAGAATGTTGGTATTTGACCAGTAACATAGGATTGAGGGCTACAAAGTTTGTTAAAATTAATCACCTTTATCCTCCCTCTCATCAGATATTTCATTAGTTATATGCTGGGATGAAGGTCTACCATGCACCAAGTTTGTTTAAATTAATGACCTTTCAGGGTTACAGGGGACAGGTTTTGTAAAATCATACAATTTCTTTCGGGGTAAACTTTTGAAATGTCTTTTAACAACATCTTTTGAATAAACAAAAGACCCAGTGTGAATATATGATCAAAGCATGTAACTGGGGCACCTTGTGTAGAAACTTGATGGTAAACTTCATCTCTGTGAGGCATGCTTTATTTTATTGCTCATTTCATGAATAATCCATGTCATGGAATTTCATGATAGGCTCTTAGTCTTAATATTTTTTTAAATCAACATGTACATTTCACAAAAGTTGCCCAGAGTCTTCTAAATGAGTGTCTAGTAAAATAACATCATTTTGCTTCATATTCCACTGATAAGGAAACTATGACGGTGAACAAAATAACAACAAACTTGTCAATAACTATAACAAAATTTTATTAAAATAATATCAAAAATGTATACCATCTGAATTCGATAATCTTAGAAAATATGTTCAGAATTGTTTGGCAGTATCAAAATAGAATTATATAATTTACAAGAAATTTATTTTATCATTTAAAACAAATACAGTACAATTGTTGATCAATTTCATTTGGAAAAAATCACTTGAAATATGTAATTAGGAATTTTCAATGTATCGAATAAATATGTAAAAACTTTTAAACAGAATTCTTACACTTCTTTGTCAGTATTATAATGATAAAATAATCATAGTTGGAGTATTATATATACTTTGTCGTAGTAATAATTCTTAAATAATCGGTAAGTCTGCTAAGCTCATTGGCCAAAGTAAAGAATTTCATAAAAAAAATATACTGCCTATTAAATTTGTCAACCTTAAAAACAGTGACAGTTAAAATGATTCTCAGAATTTTTCACCTGAAAGCACCATTAAAAATATTGCAGAATAATAGTATACAGTAAAACCTCTATATGATGCCCCTGATTTCATAAGCCACCTTTTGCTTGTCTACGGACAACAATACCAGATCCTCTCTTCCCTATATTAAATTCCCTCCCTATTTTATGTCTCCCTTGATATAATGCCAGGCTAGAGAAATGGTGACAGTATAACAAGGTGTTACTGTGTATATATATATATTTGTTGTGTATACATGCATAACAATTTTCTGTATATTAATGGTGAATATCATGTAGAATTATTTATAGAAATTGCATGAAATATATAAGACTTGTGTGTCATGTAAACTACAATAAACTTGTACCCTGGAAATCAGTTCAGTATTTTTATAACACAGAAATATCTTAATTAATAGTAGTGTGTAAATTATCGAAATTCAACTTGAAAAAGTATAACATGCTAAAAAATTGGTATAAACAATAAATTTGGACTTTCTAATTCAACAGGTAAGAATCACAAACTTAACGGAGATGTGTAACAAAAATAAAAATAATTAGTAATATAAAAATAAATGTTATCACAGTCGTTTTTGTTAAAAAATATAAATATGAAAATTATCAAAACATTTTGGATGTCTTTAGAAAAATTCCATTGTAAGCTTCTCTGGGACATTTCCCACCAATTCTTCTGAAATCATCAAATTTCTTCTAGACTACTTATTTTTTAAAGAAAGATGATTGCTAGTCTTGTTTTGCCAATGTTGAAATGAAAGTTCTTTCCAATTGTAGTAAATATTTTGTATGCAATTAAAACATTTTTTGTTCCCATCTTTCATCAATTTTGGTCTTCACTTAAGTGTTAGAACAACTTCTGTGGTTTTCTTCAAAGGTAGAGAACTCCTTCAAGTTTCTGCAGGATGTGATCACACTTATCTCTCCTGGCAGGGTTGTCCTTCATGGTCATGTCCACAATTGATTCCAGTTCCTTAATATGGAAGATGGAGTAGATTTCATTGACAATGACCCCAACACTGTACACATCAGAGGCCGGGGTGGAGAAGAATCCTCGACGAACCTCCGGGGCCAGGTGAACAAACTGGGCCATATACTGAGGGTTACCAGTGAGCCTGTGGCCACATCGGAAAGAGGCCAGTCCCAGGTCAATGTACCTACAGAGATAAAATGGTTGTACATGTACATACATGTATTGATGGATTTGGAGTTACCATCAGGAAGAAACCAAATAAGAAGAACTTTAATTTAATATACATGTTATAGTTAATGCTAGATAAAAGTGTAAAACTGAAATCATCAAGTTAGAATTTAAAAATAAACTTAAATACTTCACTTTTGTTTTACAGATTAATTGTAGCTTGTATTCAGTATCACTATTACTCTGTAATCTGTTGTTTGGTAAACAGTGCTCAAACAAAATAAAATTTCTGTGTCTCCACTTAATTTAGTATTTCCTGCAATATTTATGTTTAATAACTTATATTTTGTGTCACCAAATTTTCCATGTATTAGGCAATATAAAATTTGTCTTTTAAATATAAGATATTTTTCTTGATTTCGAAATGATCATTTTGCGCTATTGGTAAAAACTGGTGTGATCCCTGATATTACTGGATACTGTACTAAAATAATTGATTACCTAAGGTTGGAAAGTTCATCTCCTTGTACGTCAACCAGGATGTTATCTGTCTTAATATCGTTGATAAGGACATGTTTGTTGTGTATAATATCCAGGCCGTGAAACAGCTGGTATATTATGCAGACCCAATTCCACTTTCCAAAGGTAGCTGGAGGGTTGACAATCAAGTTCTTTAAGGTACATCCCCCTGCAAAACACTCTTGGACAAGGGCAAAGGCACCCGATATGGGAGTGATTGGAGACTCCATAAGTCCATAGCATTTCGGAACAAACTGAGTGCTCTGGAGATACAGCAGAGTTTGTGTCTCCTGGTAAATGTCGAATGTTGATGAATTATCAGGGTCAAAGTCCTTCACACAAATACTTGCCAGTGGATTTTTATAATACTCTGCCATATAGACGAAACCATAGGAACCATTTCCCAGTATGTGGAGCTGTCTACTGTTTTCACGCCTTTTCAGAATGATTTCATGGTTTAGCACAATAGGAATTCTCACATCCACCATCGTTGACGGCATGTCGTCTGGTGCAGCATACCCATAACCTCTGAATGGGGACGAGTTGGATGGCAGATTTGAAAAATAGGTGATTGCAGGAAGCTTTGGGTGGTATCTTAAAATAAAAAACAATTCAAATGGAATTTTATGAAATTAAAAATCTTTTTCTCAAGTTTACTTCAAAAATATATAATAATAACTATTTGTCAGGATTTTAGAACATTAATTCATATATATATATATATATACATGCTGTCACAAACCTTAACAGGGGATTTTTTTTTTTTATCATAAAACATGTTTTTAAAGGAAGTAAATCATTTATAAAATCATTTAAATGTACTTGAAATTTAAGTTTTGTAATTTTCTGACTAATTTAAAAAAAAAAAATCTGTACCTTGTCACAGTGCCAGTTGTCGCTTTCTGTTGATTTTCTTGGCATACAATGCTAGTCTTGCTGGTATCCCTTTTATCCTGCCCATTAGGATTTAGGCCAAACCCAGGGGGTCGGGACTGAGACGTCGGGACAGGGACAGGGACAGGGGCAGGGGCAGGGGCAGGGGCAGGTGCTACTGAAGCAGTAGCAGCAATACTGAAACAAAAGTAGATTTATGCTTTAAAAAACATGTATACATACTGGTGATGTGGTACACCATATGTTTTTTCACTTAAGGATATATGATACCTAACACCTTTTTTGAATTAATCAAAACATGCATAACTCAATACTTGTGTACAATTCAAATGTGTGAATGGTGTATTCATCAACCAAGTCAAAATAAACTAGATTATAAAAAATACTTTATCACTTTTTGATGGCGTGGAATTCTTCTGAATAGGAGTTACATTTCATAAAACTGTACATACATAACCCTTTAAGGGAGAAAATATTCTGACATTTCACACTTTTCAAGTTTCAAGCAGATAACTATATTGAAAACAATGAACATATTATAGTAAAACCTCATTATACTGCCCCTCCTTTCATTTGCCACCTCTCTTACTGCCAACATATCACAAAGTGCCTTTTCTTCTTGACAACTCTATCACCAAACCTCTTTATAATGCCAAAATTTGGTTGGACAAATATGGCAATATAGCAAGGTTTTACTTTGGTCCCTCATATTATCTACCTTCGTTGGGTTTTCTTTGCAATGTTCCTCCTCAGAATTTCTAAAATGATATTTGAGTCATCGTCATCTAGCTCAAGTTCCAGTCCACCAGTGCTGATGCTGTTAAGTTTACCATCCCGAGTCAGATGGACCTGTAACATTTTAATGTATACACAATATTTTTTTTATTACTGAACACAGTGATATTTTCTGAGATGATGGATAGGGAGAAATACATAATGAAGACCATGATGCATTTGCAGTTTCCTCATGGTCTTATATTTTAGTAAACATTTCATTTGTGAAGATATTGAATTTGTACAATTGAATACTGGATTGATTTTGAGAATAGATCAGTCAATTCAAGATGAAATGTCCAGTAGGTATACATTTTCTAACAGCAGTTAATGCAAAATTGGAGCCTGTATTTAATAACAAGTTTAAAGCTAATATTATAAATATTCACCTGTAAAGTAACATTTTTGGATGACACAACTTCCTGTGATGTTTCATTGACTGTCTGGGTTTGAATGTTGGTGGTCTTGGTAGGGACTGCCTGAACACCAAAGTCCAGCATCTCAACAGATGTCTGCATGTTCATCTCTGATGTCTCTACAGGTTTGGCCTGGACACCAAAGTCCTGCATGTCCACAGAGGCCTGCACATTCATCTCTGATGTCTCTACAGGTTTGGGCTGGACACCAAAGTCCTGCATGTCCACAGAGGCCTGCACATTCATCTCTGATGTCTCTACAGGTTTGGCCTGAACACAAAAGTCCTGCATGTCCACAGAGGCCTGCACGTTCATCTCTGATGTCTCTACAGGTTTGGCCTGAACACCAAAGTCCTGCATGTCTGGTGTGGCTTGAACATCCACATTTGCTGTCTTTGGTCGAATCTGGAATTCAGGAAACACATTTTCTCTTTAGAAAATGAAAGACTGCAGCCAAAGAAGTCTTATTGCATGAATAAAAACATGTAAACAAATGGATTAAAAATAAGAGCCTATTAAATCTATGAATTGAATATGAATAGGCCAAAGTGAATTCAGTATGCATTAACGTCATTAAAAAATAAGAGCATGTTGAAAATTAAAGTATCATTTCCCAACAAAATATTACCTTGTGATTGCTTAATTTGCACTCTACTGTACAGAACTATTTAAAAAATCAAACTTACTTCATTCATAACCAGTTGTCGGATCCAGTTAGGGATGGCACTGACATCTTTTCCAACTCCCAATTTCGTCAAAGAATCTTCTCTGTACTTTTGTTGTAACAGGTGATGGTATAAGGAATCATCATTTTGGGAAATGCATTTCCATTTGGCATCGTCACATACATTATACAGACCCGTGGCACAACTAACGTATATCTCAATATTGTCCCGCAAGTTTCCATGTGGGAAGCACGAAGCAAGGCTGCTCAAAATATCGTACCGTCTTGGCTGAAATAAATCACCAATGTTTGTATATACTCAGAAGGCTTTCAACAGTATGGTAAAGATTCCGAAATTAAATACTTGTTTAGGGCGCCATACTATTTATAGCTGTAAACTAGATTTGTACCCAACAAATCTAGGCCTAGCACATTCATATCGTTTTGGTATATTTTCTGTTGTTCTATCAGAGGCTATGAACTGAAAGTAGATGGGACTTAATTAGAACTTGTTAGCCAGCCAAGTCATGTCAAACGATCAAAAAGTCAAATGTAAACATTGAAAACAGTGTTCTGTCTTAAGTCTCTTCAATTTGTTTTCAAATCATTAACAAAATAAGAAATTAGGCATATGCACAAAATCCATGCTTGAGCATGAGAACGGTTTCATGAATACGGGCCTTGATTTTTCAAGACAACTAGGTAAAGTTACATTAACATTTTTAGACATTTTCTTTCAAAACTTACCTCCTGTTTAACGAAATTCAAGTCATTTGGGTACACAGTTGTTTTCTTGTGAAAAGTTGAATTGTTTTTGGATACAAAAACACCACCTGCCTCCCTGAAAGTTCTCTTTACGCACTTAAAATCCATTTTGTTCTCGAGTCTAAAATATCGCATTCGCCAGTTCGTATGATAACACGTAACTATGCGGTTGCTATGTCGTCATTTGTATTTTAGCGCCCTATCAACATCATCGTGATCACCGAGATGCTTAATTCGTTTGGTCGAACTAATAAAGTGTCTATTTGATTATGATTCCGCGCAACTCTGAATAACTCATGCTTCCGCGGGAAAAAGTTCCAACATTTGATCTTTTCGTGTTTCAAACAGATATGAGTTGTAAAATTTCTACTATGGAAAGTAATATCTACCATAAACACTTGGAGCATGCAAAACACTGTTTTCCTTATATGGTTGTCTTTTGGTGCTTGATCATGTCCAGACAGTACAAAAAGGGACACAACTCGTTGCGCTCTCTAACAGAACTTGACATTTGGTTACAATCTCCACGCAGAGTTACGGTCCTTGCACTGTATTGAAAAGGAACGACTACTCTGGGTAGAGATTGATTTGGTTAACGTTATCATGAGGTAGGCCCTATACGAGGTACATTTTCATTTTGCAATGCAAATCAAACTTTCATAGTTTTAAGCAATCGAGCCAAATGTTATCTGCCTTCATATTGTAACGTTATGTTGCTTGTGAATATTATTGAAAAATTCAAAGAAATATGAAATGAAATTATTTTCCGGGAAATGGTGTAACGCTGCGACAACATTTAAATATCCTATCATATTTCTTAAAAATGGAAATATTTGTTCAAATGAATATTTTTATGAATAAACGACTAAAATTTATCAAGAAGTGTCAAAACTTTCCGAAATAAAGAAAACTGTTATAAATGCGGTCAGTTATTATCAAAAATAAATCTGTTCAGAGCAATAAAAGATACATTGTATATATTAGAGGCACATGGTTCATCGTACGTATTCATCGTACGGAAATGACCTAGCCCAACTGTGCTACATTTCTATCCAAAGTGGAATTAAGGTGAGATTCATATATTTACCGTCGAATGGTTTTGCCAATATATAACCCTACCATATTCAGTTAGCATTCATATAGGCTATGAATGCCTTGGACATAAGTCAAACCATGTGGTAAATAGTTTTAAACACACACTCAACAAGCTCTGGTCTGATCACGCCTGTAAATTGAATGCTTCTAGCAAGGAAGTTCCTGTCCGGAACTTTTAGTATTTTAACTCCCTTTTCAAACCTGTAAGATTTCTGGATATTATTTCCGCTATATCAATACGCATCGCAAGTCACGTATCAGTCTAGGAATATCATAACGCGCAACAAGAAGCTACCTGAAGCTTTGGATTGGTGTCTATGTTTAGCGCCAAGATCACTACGTTTATCAAAACGAGGAAACAGAAAAACTTGTTCATTATTATTCTTTCGCAAACCTATAAATTAACTGATTTTCTGATTCTATTTAAAATTAATAACTTTGGCTTGGCATATTGTAAACGCACATGTTATTATGCGAGTTATCCGGATTTTTCAGCGACCGTCATTTGTTCCATAATTTAAACACTAAACACAGACTTCCTGTTAATTTACGAGCCGCCATGTGAATTTGTAGTGCAAAATCGTTGCATCTTGCCTACTTATGGCAAACTCTTCAACTATTTGTCGTAGATAATTAATTGACATAGTAATACAATGGCTGGTGAACATCGTAGATCGACGGTGGCGCAGTTCTTCGAGGAGGAAGATGATGCGGCACTGGAAAGCACCTCCACATATGACCGGGTTTGTTTGTTTTGAATCTATGTAGACCTCTTAGAAAACAGTATGTCATTTACTTGCCTTATGTTAACACTTAAAGGGAGGATGTTAATTGAAACATTAATATAAATCTGCAAGTCGGTGATCTGATATAAACTTTTCACAAGTTTTGACAGAGTTCCAAGCCAGACATTTCGGCCCGTAATTATTACCACCCAGTCATTTTAGTACCATTGTCCAGACACGGTCCTCGGCATGGCATTAATATATAGTTAATATACGTATTAGGGGTATTTAAGCATGATTTCAGTGGGTTTGACTGGCCAAAAACATCTTGATTTAAGGCCTTCATGCTCACCTATCACAAATGTACATTTAAGCTGGTAAAAAAGAAAATAAGCTCCTTATGACGCATGTTAAAATGAGCTTTATAACAGGTTTCATTTATTATTTATTGGGTGATGTTGAAAGAATGAAATCCTTTTTGTTCCCAGTGTTTAAAAGAATTTTGTGTGTTTTTATTTCACTTTATTCCCAATTTCAGTAATAAAAATGTCACTATAAATGGTAAATGTTACCCAAATGCAGGATAATTAACCATATGCACAGTTGTGGCTAACCTGATCAATACCATACCATGTAATTAATACCATACATTAATAGAAACTATGCTACAGTAAATTAATTCTGTACCAATTTGATAACTAAAGTTCAAGTTCAATAAACACAAAATAGGCATTTCAAATTCAATACTGTTGTTTAACTGGGGTCTTTACATATGAATTATTGTTAGGTTAAAATTTATTGCTGTCATCTTTTTGAAATTTCCACAGAGGAGATAATGAGTGGTAGGAATTTAAACATCAAAAAACATGTTTGTATGTACACTCTAGGGGAAAATTAGCACCTTTGAATGATATTTTTGAGTTGTTTCACCAGATCTTTCAAAATAGGAATAGTTTAGCATTTAAAGTCCAAAATTGGGAGACTTCCTAAGCTATTGTTAGATTGAAATTTATGGTGATAATACCAACCTCACAGGGATAATCCCCGATTGCTTAATTTTAAATTTCAGACATTAAAATTTGAAACACTTTCTCATGTGAAAAATGGATTAATTATACTATATAAATCACACATTTGCATTGTATTTTTAAAATAAGCAAAATCAAAGTCCTGATTTTTGTGTGATTTTTTTTTACAGGTTGTTGATCTCATCAACAAGGCTTCCTTGATGCAGAAAGATGCCCAAAAAATCAACAATCTGAAACAGGTAGGAATTTGTGCTGCAACAGCAGTTTATAAAGTTACAGTCTGCTTACTAATACTAAGTATTTGTCCTACAACTGATGGTATAAGTATTCTCAAGTTTAATTGATACATCATTTTAAAGATGTATATATATTTTTATTTACCTTGTTTGGGCTGCTCTTGCAGAAATTGATATACAGGTTTTCAGTTCAAGTTCGAGATTGTCTAGACATGCTGCATGTAAACCAATGAGTAATTGATAAAGAACTTTTCAATACATAATGTAATTAGTATACAACATTTTCTGTATTTGTATATATGACAAACAGAAATCCATAGTTTTCTATAGTACAATGTAGTTTCAATTTAAAAAAATGAAATCACAGACCAAATAGGGCTATTAAATTATCACAACATTTTATAAAACAGCAGTCAAAGGAGATACATGAAAGTGAATCCTAACAATGTACAACTTCTGTTATTATATATATTGAGAGGAAATTTGAATATTATAGTTATAATGACCTGCATTCACGATGTCAAAGACATGTTTAATTTGCCATTTTCATAACTTTAACACACATTTCTTCCCCACAGATAATTAATTACTATCAAGTGACAATATAGAATTGTACCGTCTCGACAGCTAATATCAGAATATATTAAAGTTCACATGAAAATAGAGTGATTCACGATTTGTTCCACACATGCACTACATGTACTACCATTGGTATTGAACCTCTGCCAATGAATCAATAATTTCCTCATTATGACATAATGGTACTGCAGCTGGTTTTTTGTCATTGAAAGATGAAAACAAGTGCTATGTAAGATAAATATTTGATGCAGAATGTACTGTGATAATTTTCTTATATTCTAATGATCATTTGCAGAAAATCACATACATTTTTTTTTTGGTTTAATTTTCAGGTGCAAGAGCTGATTATTCACAAGGAGCCAAATTTATTGGATAACTTTTTAGATGTAAGTACGGTGTACATGTGAAGCATGTATTTGAATTTATTACATACCTGATGAATCTTACTGAAGTGATAGAGCCTGTTTCCAGACCATGCACTACAAGGTTATATATTTCATACTGTGGTAATACATGTTGTATTTACCCAGTATCCAGAACTCCTTTTTGGTTTGAACTCATCTGTCATCATCCATTGACAAAATTGATAAGTTGAAACAGAAATGTGTTCAGAACGCCTGAGCTCCATTTTACAGTAAGATAGCATGATGTCTGTGTTCCTCTTCAGCAACGTTTTATCCACCAATGCTGATCTATCACAGTTTTAGGAAGGCCAAATTGAACACGAAAACAGGGTAACTGATTAGCAATGTTTTGTAGAAAATGGATAAAATGCATTGAAGGTACAATCGTAGGTTTATTCTGAAAGCAATTCCACACACATCACTCAGCCTGATGCATTGCCCTCGGGCAATCTGAGATGTCAGATGAAGATGTGTGTGATATTACTTGTGTATACTGAATCTACCTGGTTTAATGATTATAATATCTGGTGATAAATTTTGCTGATTTTGGTTATCATTCTATTAACTGCAAATAGAATATAAATTATTTTGCACCACAAAAACTTGGAACAAAGGTTGCATTTAACAAAAAAGTTCCTCTAAATAAAGTTTTTTTTCTTTTCTATTAAAGACAGTTACAAGATCCTACAGATTGTAATCAGGACTTGAACTCATTAGAAATCACAAGTAAACTGACATTTATTTGTTATTTGTGTTTTTTATGTGATACAGGAAATGCTGGCCTTTCAGAGTGATAGAACAGTTGATGTGAGAAAATTTGTGATCAGCTTCATGGAGGAAGCATGGTAAGTTATCTGTGGTAATGTAATGTGATCTGTTCTGTGCAAGACTGTCTCTCACCTGGTAAGGTCAAGGTGACTGCTGCTAATAGGCAAATATGACAAATGATCCAGCTTCCTTTTTACCAGGATTGTCTTGGTGTAGGAAATAAGGGAAAGCTTAGTTGGGTGATCAGGTTTTTTGCCAGCTATTTTGGGAAAGAGCCCCTGAGCAGGAATTGGAAAATATCATCGGCATTTTGCAAAAATTTGGAAAATATCATAAGCTTGAAAAAAATAAAAAAAAACTGCAATGTGATGAGCAAAACGTTTTTCTCTACCTGTTTATAACAGTAAAATGTTTATAACAGTAAAATGTTTATAACAGTAAAATGGATAGCAATAAATAAATGCATCAATTTTCAGTATTTTGTTTATTCTATTTCAAATCTTCGTTATTTATGTATTTTGAATGCTCCTTCATGGACGGTAATACTTTGGACGTTGTACATATAACAACTGGAATATTGTATAGACATGCTTTTTAATACAATTGGGAAATTAAACACTGAAAGTGGAAAAATGCAGGTTATTTTTATGTTGGGAATGGGTCCCTGTACCGGACCCTATAAACACCAGGCAAAGATCCTGGTGATTCAAGTAAAAATCTACCAGACCCGAGGGCTCTAATCATTAATCACTTCTATCCATGGCTAGGTTTCCTGTCCATTACTCCTATGCAAATTATATTTAATGAATTCTGTTGTTGGTTCCTTAAAATGAAATCTTGATTCATGTGATGGGATAGATGTTTTACTGAATTAGTTCTTTGTGTACTTTTTCAGCTTTAAACAGATTTTGTGAGAAACAGAACTGATTACTGGTAGCTGCAGATTTTCGTCATGTGAAAAACATTTTGAATTTGTTTAATTTTTGTGTGTAGCAAGAAGGACATGGAGTTGCTGCCAAAGATACTTCCCTGTCTGCAGCTGTTGTTGGAGGACGAGAATGTCAACATCCAGAAGAAGGTCATCCTCATCATGTCTCAGGTCTACAAATGTGTCCTCCAGGTAGGTATATCTCACATCATTGCTACACTGACTTGGTTGTATTTAACTTTTACAAAGTTGAGTTTTCAAAGCTTTAAATTGTCATTTTTTTTATCAGGATATAATATGGACTCAACAATTCAAAACAATTTTGCACAAGAGTACACATTTTTTTGGTGAGGTTTTCGGTGAAAATTAAGTTCTGGTGACATTTCTTGAGAAAGTTTCGATATACCCTTACTGTGTGTACACCACATAAATTACTCTGTTGGGACCTTTGTTTTAACATACATCCACTTTTCAAATAAGAGTTGAACCTTTTTCTTCTTTGCACATCAATACTAATTCTAAGATTGTCAGGTGACCTTTACCTGGTAAATTTGTTTTAATTTTGATAAAAAAAAATAAAAAAATTATTGACATGCTATTTAGTTTTAAAGCATTTTTAAAATATTAATTTTCACAATTGCTCTTGAATTGTGAGGATTTAGATTTGTAAAAGAAGAAAATCAAACGATATTCATGTACATTTTTCGTGAAATAAGTGCTACTATTAAATTTGAGATGGCCTCTGCTTACCTTACAGTGGATGTGCAGTGCCAAAGGGGTTAATGATGAGAAAATGTATGTGTGGGAGATGGTTAAGAGCATGAAGATTAAACTACTGGAGATGGCTGATTCAGAAAATGATGGGTATGTAGAATGTACTGATGATTTGGTTTATTGTGCGAGTAAGTAATTTTGAACTTAAACGCATGATGACAGTGTTGTCTGTCCATTCAGTGTTAATATATTTTTTTTCCGTTTTATTTTCAAAAATAATATTCATCTGCTTGTGGAACATTCTTATATGTCAGTGGAGGCAAGAACTACCTAGTCTTTACCAAAATATCTTTGTGAGCAAGGGAGTAAACACTAATTATTGCTCTTATGAGATTTGTAATATATCCTTCATGACTCATGACATTGCTAAATTCAATCCCCAGCAAATGTTACCTTACACAATAATGTTAAATGAAATATTGAATATCAGCCATTTTCTTACCACACACAGCTCTAAGGTCTACAGCTGTGATACAGTGTACAGATTAACTATACACTAGATAGCTATAGACATTACACCCAGTTATACGTTTTGTATTTGTCTATTGTTTTCCAGAGTGAGGACTCATGTGGTGAAATTCTTAGAAGGCATGGTGATGATATTGTCCCATTCAACATCTGTAAGTATTCTAACGCTTTGATGTTTAGTTCTTAAAAAATGTATTTGATAATGTAGTACAAATGCATTTCACAATAGACTTTGTTGCTGTAAAATTGTATAATCTCTAGCAGAGGCATTTAAATGAGATACTCGGACCCTATTTGTATGTTATTAACACAAATTTTCAAAAAAGCTTTTTCAGAAACATCTGAATATTAACAAATATTTTTTATTTATTGTCTGTGGTTAATCTTCTTTTATCCATATACATGAAGTTTTAGTTCTAACATGAATATTTTTTATCTTATTTCTCCCACCATGAAAATATGTCTTCTCAGAATCCCATTTAGTCTTGAAAGTTGTACAGGAATGGATGTAGGATTTGTTCAAAGGGGGACAATGCACATGTTTCCAATAATTATGAAAAAATCTTTTCATGTTTTTTGTCAATATGTGAAATTTCATTTCATTTAGCAGGTATCTTATTATGGAAATCTGACCCTAAGAATAATTCCGATAATCAAAATTTCATGTTTTCAGGAGTCTGAGTTTCCAAAGAACTTCAAACCAGAGAGTGATATTAACCTCAGCATTGTCCCAGAGGACAGTGACAACAAATACCTCAAGCTCAAACGCCTCGAGGATGAAGGCAAAAACATTTTTGAGACCATGTTACACTTCCAAGCTTCTCCACACATATCCAGGTATATCAGTAATGTCATACATTTTCTTTGTACATGGACAGTTTTGCAGTACCTGAAGTTTTTGGAAAGGATATGGCGTTTGAAATGATACTTCAGGAAAACTTTGATAATTATGCTTTCGGTGGAAATTCTGTAAAATGTCAAGCTATTATGAAAACTCTTTTTTATACGTTGAATATTTAACATCCAGTTTTTTAATTTTCTGATGTTGTTGTCATGAAATTAAATAAAATTATGGAAGATTCCTTAATATGTCATCTTAAAAACAAGTTGTGGTTCAGAGTTTCTGTAACCGCTGTTGACATGTTAAACTTTGGGTATTTTATTTTCTAGCATGTTTGTTATGTAAGTGGCAAAATTGATGTGAACAATCACTGTTTTTACTATGTTATATTGGAACTAACTGATATTTGAGAAATTTAGATTTTGCACTAATATTAAAAATTCTTGTGTGGTTTCAGTATCAACTTAATGACGGTTATGGGCAGTATAACAGCCATAGCTAAACAGAGGCCGGCATTTTTTGGCAAAGTCGTTCAGGCGTTTGAATCTCTTCAAGGTAATAATACAATGAGAATCTAACTATACAGCCTTGATACAACTCAACTTAAATTACTCAATCAATTAAGATATCTCGTCATTTCCTCTCATTTATTTTGCTGTCATTCTTTCAAAGTTACTAATTCTATGTAAATCTTTTGAAATTTTCTGAACCTCTGGATTTTGTTATAATTCTGCAACATGAAATATGGCAGTACAATATTTTATTTTGTATTTTGATCAATGAAATTCATTCTGCCTCACAATGTTAACCTGGTTTTGCTTTACAAATGTGATTTATTTCAATTGATAATTACATCGATTGGAACTGTTACAAGTGTACTGCCAGTTGAAAAGGCAATGCTTCGGCCAAAAGAGCCTTTCATTTAATTAAATATGAATGATAAAAGAGTTCAGAATGTAGGTTATATATTAATAAAAAAAAAACTGTGCTCCTGTACATTAAGTTCTAGCAAAGCATTTAAGTTGGTTTTGAAAGTATATTGATATGTTATTCATCTTGTCAGTAAATTTGCCGCCGACACTGGCCAAGTCCCAAGTAAGCAGTGTGAGAAAGAACCTGAAGATGCACATGTTGTCGTTGCTGAGACATCGCTGTTCCGCAGACTACATGACACAGATCACAACCCTTCTGACAGATCTGGGCGCCACAAACTCCGAGGTGTGTACAGTATCCACACATTGTCCCTTCTCCAACCCAACATACACACACTTATACATGACAGAATATTTCCCACTGTTCTTGGTGCAAGTTTCAAGTGAGAGATATGTACAGGAGTCTGTATTTCAAGTGAGAGATATGTACAGGAGTCTGTATTTCAAGTGAAAGATATGTGCAGGAGTCTGTATTTCAAGTGAGAGATATGTACAGGAGTCCATATTTCAAGTTAGAGATATATACAGGAGTCTGTATTTCAAGTGAGAGATATATACATGAGCCTGTATTTCAAATGAGAGATATATACAGGAGTCTGTATTTCAAGTGAGAGATATGTACAGGAGGCTGTATTTCAAGTGAGAGATATGTACAGGAGTCTGTATTTCAAGTGAGAGATATGTACAGGAGTCCATATTTCAAGTGAGAGATATATACAGGTGTCTGTATTTCAAGTGAGAGATATATACAGAAATCTGTATTTCAAATGAGATATATATACAGGAGTCTGTATTTCAAGTGAGAGATATGTACAGGAGACCATATTTCAAGTGAGAGATATATACAGGAGTCAGTATTTCAAGTGAGAGATATATATAGGAATCTGTATTTCAAATGAGATATATATACAGGAGTCTGTATTTCACGTAAGAGATATGAACAGGAGTCTGTATTTCAAGGGAGAGATATATACAGGCGTCTGTATTTCAAGTGAGAATATATACAGGAGTGTGGATTTCAAGTGAGAGAGATATACAGTAGTCTGTATTTCAAGGGAGAGATATATACAGGTGTCTGTATTTCAAGTGTGAGATATATACAAGAGTGTGTATTTCAAGTGAGACATATATATGTACAGGAGTACATATTTCAAGTGAGACATATATATGTACAGGAGCCCATATTTCAAGTGAGACATATATATGTACAGGAGCCCATATTTCAAGTGAGACATATATATGTACAGGAGTCTATATTTCAAGTGAGACATATATATGTACAGGAGCCCATATTTCAAGTGAGAGAGATGAACAGGAGTCTGTATTTCAAGGGAGAGATATATACAGGAATCTGTATTTCAAGTGAGAGATATATATGTACAGGAGTCCATATTTCAAGTGAGAGAGATATACAGGAGTCTGTATTTCAAGTGAGAGATATGAACAGGAGTCTGTATTTCAAGTGAGAGATATATACAGGAGTCTATATTTCAAGTGAGAGATATATACCGGAGTCCATATTTCAAGTTAGAGATATTTTCAGGAGTCCATATTTCAAGTGAGAGATTTATACAGGAGTCTGTATTTCAAGTAAGAGATATGAACAGGAATCTGTATTTCAAGTGAGAGATATATACATGAGTCTGTATTTCAAGTGTGAGATATATACAAGAGTGTGTATTTCAAGTGAGAGATATATACAGGAGTCTGTATTTCAAGTGAGAGATATATACAGGAGTCTGTATTTCAAGTGAGAGATATATACAGGAGTGTGTATTTCAAGTGAGAGATATGAACAGGAATCTGTATTTCAAGTGAGAGATATATACATGAGTCTGTATTTCAAGTGAGAGGTATATACAGGAGTCTGTATTTCAAGTGAGAGATATGAACAGGAATCTGTATTTCAAGAAATCACCAACCCTACACAGAATATCATATTTCAGAGATTACGATATTTACCAAAGATTTGGGTAAGTTTCATATTAGCAACAACTCTTTAATTAATTTGAAAACAAAATAATTTTATAACTTTAATGTTTTATTTGCCATGTCAAGTTGAAGGTTCTGTTTTCTTTGAAAGGTGATGAAAGCCATGCCAAAAATAGATGAAAGTAAAAAGAGAAAAGCTGAGGAGTCCACACAAGTGGCAAAGAAAGCCAAAATTGAGGAGGTACGACACACCCTAAACTTTTATTACAGGATTAGGATAATGAACATCTTTACATGGATTTTCTTATTCTATAGGTCGGATAAGTTAAAATGAAAACTGTCTTATACTTTGAGAAGTTTTTGTTGATTGTCATTTGATTTTTTTCTGGATACAAGTTCTTTTTTAGCACATAGCTCTGATCTAAAACAACACTGACAGAAAACTTAAAATTGCATTTAATCATTATCCTTATTTTTATTTATAGATATACATAATATACAATTACAATACAGTAATTATTACAACAAAAATGTCAAATAAACAAGAAAAGAGTGTAAATCAAGTGTTTTATTATCATATCGCAGATAACGTGGCAACAGATTCAGATGCTGTCATAATTTTGAGACAAATTTGAATAGGCAGAGTTCAAGTCAATATTTGAGATTAAAAATGATACTGTGACACATTTTATCTTACCATGAATGTGACATAGTCTACCTTCGATACAGCATTAGAATTTACATTCTGTGAATAGGCCTTTTTAAGATAATATTAAGTCATACATTTTAAAACTTACAACTAGTTATGACTTTCATGCCTTCACTCAACCTTATTCCCTAGGTGGAGTTAGATGACGATGATGCCGGTATGACACCGTTTGTGGACAGAACGACAACCAAGTCTGCTCCAACAGTCAAACAGCAGTCCACAGCCGTTGACATCACGTCTGAGGATCTGGAGTCCAGGCTCAACGCACAGAATGTGGCTGATCTTGTTCTGATCAGCATGGTAGGTACACTTGTTAACTTGCTCTTGTACTAAACTCATTCTTTTCCACATGAAATTGATTATGTCGGTAAAACAAAATTAACATTTTGAAAGTTTGAAATTTATTATATGACTGAAAGAGAAAAAAGCCTTTTCGACACTTTTCAATTCTGTAGATTGGTTATGAAAGGTTATGACTTGATGTATTCACTAATTTCACTTAATAGGTGATGTTGCCGGACACAATGCCAGCCCATTTCCAGTCGACCTACACTCCTATAGCTGCTGCCGGGACAGAGGGTCAGATCAAACACATAGCCAGACTCCTGTCCACCCAACTAACTACTGCAGGCATGGGCAAGGGTGTGGCTGAAACACAGGCACAGGTAAGGGGGTTGAATTGAAACACTGGCACAAGTAAGGGGGCGGGGCCGAAACACAGGCAAGGGGGTGGAACTGAAACACTGGCACAAGTAAGGGGGCGGGGCCGAAACACAGACACAGGCACAGGCAAGGGGTTGGAACTGAAACACTGGCTCAAGTACGGGGGCGGGGCCGAAACAGACACAGGCAAGGGGGTGGAACTGAAACACTGGCACAAGTAAGGGGACAGGGCCGAAACACAGGCACAGGTAAGGGGGTGGAACTGAAACACTGGCACAAGTAAGGCGGCGGGGCTGAAACACAGGCACAGGCAAGGGGGTGGAACTGAAACACAGGCACAGGTAAGGGGGCGGGGCCAAAACACAAGCATAGTTAAGGGGGAGTGGCAAGGGTGTGGCTAAAACACAGGCACATGTAAAGGGGTGGAACTGAAAAACGAACACAGGCAAAGAGGTTGGACTGAAACACAGGTACAGATAAGGGGATTGAAATGAAATTCAGGCACAGGTAAGGGGGCAGGACTGAAATACTGGTATAGGAATGGAGCTGAAACACAAGCACAGGGGTTGGGGCTTGAAAATACAGGTACAGGTAAGGGGGTGGGACTAAAACAAAGGCACAGGTTAGGGGGCATAACTGAAACACAGGCACAGGTTAGGGGGCATGACTGAAACACAGGCACAGGTTAGGGGGCATGACTGAAACACAGGCACAGGTTAGGGGGCATGACTGAAACACAGACACAGGTAAGGGGGCGGGGCTTAAAATACAAGTGCAGGTATAGGGATCGGACTAAAACACAGGCACAGGTAACTTAAACACAGGAACAGGTAAGGAGATTGGCCAATTTGATGGCTAAAACACTAGTAAGGGGAGGCTGAAAACAGTTACAGGTTAGGGAGTGTCCAAAACAGTCATAGAAACAGAGATTTGGCAGGGGATCAGAGAGACAGGGATTATCATAGAAAAAATCTTACTTTCAATACTAACAAGGTATTCCCTCCTCATACTCCTCCCTTGTTTATACACCATACCGACTTGACACATCAAGCAAAAACTAAAATGGTATATAATTTGTGTTAACAGTCTGAAGAGAATGAGGGAGCTGGTGGCGAATCGCCAGCCTATCAGCCATCCTCTCCCAAACAGCTTATCCAGACTGTTGTGGGTATGTATTATACTAATATCTGTTACTTCAGATATTTTATATCTGTACAGATTAAAGTCAAATAGACAATCACAAATTTAAATATCTTGCAAATATTTACTGGGACACAATTAATCTTAGAACACATTGTGAATGTTGATTATAATAGGTTCATGATGACGTACTAATTAACTGCAATGTCAGGCAACATTTTTGTACTGTTAGAATTTTTCATTGGATGGAATTCAACATCTCATTGTGTTCATATCACTATTTATGTCCATAGTTAAATTCAAAATCTCATTCAGTGGCAAAATTACAATAGGTGAACATTTCCCATTCCCAAGTTTTTCAAGGCCTATTTTTTGGCTTCACGGATTCAGTATTAAATGAGATTTCCATTATTTATACCTACTATGATGGGATGTATGCTTTAATTACAGGAGGGCTAACAGACGATTTACCAGCACTACCCAGCTCGAGTAAAGCGCAGTCAATGCAGCCGCCTGCAGTAAGTATGAAGTTGTGTGACTTAAACTGAACATTTATTATACAAGTTAAGCTGATTTAAATAGCACTTACTCAGAAGTCAAACTTTCTAATGAGGGGAATTTGTTTATGCAAGCTTGTTCAGGTGTGAAAAAAATGTGAAAAATAAATTCTACCAGTAATCTTTGTACAGTAGATTTCGCTTATTATCACTTTTGATTTGTCAGATGAAAATGTGATATTAACAGGAACATGACATAAAAAGAAAACGTGTTTTTCTGACCATTTCAGGTGTCATAACACAGAAATGACCGTATTTAAATGTCCAAGTGATATGGTATTACAAAGAAGAGAGTTTAAAAATATATATATAAATATATAAAAAATAGAACAAAAGACAGAGATAGCGTCTCTAGGCCTTTCTCGGGTTGATTCCCCGTTCATCAGGAGACTGTTTATTTTGAAAACAGGTATTGTGAGGTCATAGTTGTTTACACAAGAAAGTATGATGTCATCAATAATGCAAAGTCATTATGACGTCACAGAAGGCATACACATAAATCCATGACGTCAACAACAATACAAGCTAAATTGTGACGTTACATTACTTAGACAAATGCATAACTTTATGATCTTACCAACAATAAAAAATACGGGAGATACAAATTGTTTCATTTACGGCAACAATAAAATATGAACAATAATATTTAAAGCACAGCAATTGCTTAAAGCATGACACGTTGAATTTAATGTGAACTATTCAGACTGGGTTTCAACAGTTTCATTAACTCCGACTCCTTAACTTCCCTCTTTATCACATCAGATGAATGCATTTGGTAAATAGGGAACACTTTGAAGTTATTGTTAGCACAGTTATGAATATGTTTGTTCACTTGTAAAAATCTAAGGTCATCATGGATTGTTTGTTGCTTGTGAAGAGTCATTCTTTGACGTAGTTCACGCCCAGTTTGGCCAATATAAAATTCCAAACATTTAACACACACTATAGCATATATAACATTCTTCGACTTACAATTCATACTAGAACGTACAGTGAATTTAAATCCATTTTTGAAAACAAAAGTAGAACCTTCAATAATTATTTTACATGTTCCACATCTGGGCGAATTACATTTAGACACAATAAGTTCAGCTTGATTCGTTTCAAACTTGGAAAAACTCAATAGCCTTTTGAGATTTTTGGGTTGTCTTTTACTATTGATAATTCTATGTTTAGCTAAAACATTTTCCATACGCACGCTAGTTTTATATATATGTATATGATTCTACAAATATTTCGAGGCATATTTGAATTAAAAGCAAACGACAATTTCCATACCACCACTAAGTCGGTTTGTATTCATATTGTTCAAAAATTCTATGCAAATCTGTGATAAGTAGGCATGTGTTTTTTTAGGTTCATGATTTGCTTCCATATAAGTGATATATATTTTCCATATGTAAACCTTTTGGTTTTTATTCCTTTCAGCCTGTCCGCCGAGGGATCAAACAGTTCAAGTTAAGTAGTGTGACCCAGGAACTCAATCGGGACGACCTTGACCAAATGACCATCAGTGCTGTAGGCAGGATCCTCAACGCAGAAAGTAGGTTATTTATCTGGTCTTAGATGTTTAAAGCTGCATTGTCTTTTAAAGTCCATTAGTTGTTGAATCGCACATTCAAATTCTGGTTCTGTCAAGCTATTATGAAAGTGTCCTGAGTTTGTGTGTGTTTACATTAGTCTTCAAATGGTTACTTTGGGTTCTGAAGTAGGATGTTTTAATTATATATTCAAAAAGTGTCGTAAATGTGCCACGTGAAAATGCCACAGAGCAACGTGACAGAAACATTCATTTATCATTTGTTTTGGTGTTGTCTGAAACAATTGTATTTTACTGGTTTCTATTATTTGTCAAATTCAATGAGCTGATGAAATTTACCTTTCCATAAAATGTTGAAGGATTGATCTGTTAATCTACAACTGTGAAAATATATTGTTTTATGAACAGAGAGTGCTACACAGGGCAATGTACTACCAGCCAGGACCAAGCTGTTAGCCGGGCTTACGTCGCAGTTTGGTGGCGAACTCAGAGACCGTAAGTTTTGTGTAAAGAATCACTCCAAAACAAGTCATATGGGTGAGGGGAGAAGAACTACTCCAGAGACTCCATCATTAACAAAACTCTAAATAGTAAATACAATGATACAGACTGACGGAATCTACAAAATCACTGAAACTTCTCTCCTTCAGTTATTAAATTCTTAAATGACTCCAAATCTCCCCAAATGCCAACATTACACATGCAGAAAATGACATGTTTAACCCTTTCACCCCTATGTAACTTGTAGACTCTACCATGCATTGATATGGAGGGGTCGATTATGGTCTACAGTGGTGAAAGGGTTAATACAATTTGGAAAGCCATTAATTTGTTTAAGGATTCAAAATGGAAATGGGAAAATCATGGGGAGCTTTTTGTTATCAGTATGATGGTATTCGGACTGTGAACAATACTCTGCAGAGAAACCTACTTATCTTCAAGTCCATTCTCTACTCTGAAATTATACTGTATGAAATAAGCAATAAGAAAGAGTTAATATAAAATATTGAGTAAATAGGTGAATTTTTGCATTGCAAAAGTGACTGCTCACTTAATATGAAAAGGATGATGAGCCAAAAATTCACCTATTTACTCAATATTTTATATTAACTCTTTCTTATTGCTTAATATTTCATACAGTATAATTACCTAAAACTGATGTCATCACAATGAATTGTTTTATCCAGACTAATCTGTTTATATGGTTCTGAAAAATTACACCTTTTAAAAATTGAGATCACCTTGATTTAGTTTGTATCAGAAGAACATATCTTTGAGGACTAATGGCTGTATTTTGGACTAAATGTATTTTCTGTTTGATTATGTACAGTTCTGGAGGAGTACATCTTTGAGGACTAAATGTATTTTCTGTTTGATTATGTACAGTCCTGGAGGAGTACATCTTTGAGGACTAAATTTATTTTCTGTTTGATTATGTACAGTCCTGGAGGAGTACTTCTTTGAGGACTAAATGTATTTTCTATTTGATTATGTAAAGTCCTGGAGGAGTACATCTTTGAGGACTGAATGTATGTTCTATTTGATTATGTACAGTTCTGGAGGAGTACATCTTTGAGGACTAAATTTATTTTCTGTTTGATTATGTACAGTCCTGGAGGAGGACATCTTTGAGGACAACATGTATGTTCTATTTGATTATGTACAGTCCTGGAGGAGGACATCTTTGAGGACTAAATGTATTTTCTATTGGATTATGTACAGTCCTGGAGGAGTACATCTTTGCGGACTAAATGTATGTTCTATTTGATTATGGACAGTCCTGGAGGAGTACATCTTTGAGGAATAAATGTATTTTCTATTTGATTATGTACAGTCCTGGAGGCGTACATCTTTGAGGACTAAATGTATGTTCTATTTGATTATGGACAGTCCTGGAGGAGTATATCTTTGAGGACTAAATGTATTTTCTGTTGGATTATGTACAGTCCTGGCAGAGTACATCTTTGAGGACTAAATGTATTTACTATTTGATTATGTACAGTCCTGGAGGAGGACATCTTTGAGGACTAAATGTATGTTCTATTTGATTATGGACAGTCCTGGAGGAGTACATCTTTGAGGAATAAATGTATTTTCTATTTGATTATGTACAGTCCTGGAGGCGTACATCTTTGAGGACTAAATGTATGTTCTATTTGATTATGGACAGTCCTGGAGGAGTACATCTTTGAGGAATAAATGTATTTTCTATTTGATTATGTACAGTCCTGGAGGCGTACATCTTTGAGGACTAAATGTATGTTCTATTTGATTATGGACAGTCCTGGAGGAGTACATCTTTGAGGACTGAATGTATGTTCTATTTGATTATGTACAGTTCTGGAGGAGTACATCTTTGAGGACTAAATTTATTTTCTGTTTGATTATGTACAGTCCTGGAGGAGTATATCTTTGAGGCCTAAATGTATTTTCTGTTGGATTATGTACAGTCCTGGAGGGGTACATCTTTGAGGACTAAATGTATTTTCTGTTTGATTATGTACAGTCCTGGAGGAGGACATCTTTGAGGACTAAATGTATGTTCTATTTGATTATGTACAGTCCTGGAGGAGTACATCTTTGAGGACCTGCGGTCAAGGTTTGACCTAGCGTTTGCCTGGCTTTACCAGGAGTATGCCAATTGTATGGGATTCTGTGCCCCGCTGATGAAGCTGGAAAAACCATCGCTGGCAAGCTACGACGAGTGTCTCACACGACTCCTGGCTGGTCTCCTGGGTCGAGTGGACCTCAAGGAAGGGTAAGTGATGCTCTGGTTTCAGAACATTCTGTGAATGGTTGGCACAACTTTATAGAGGAGTGTCCGTAAAATTGTCCATCAAGGATTCAAACAACTTTAAATGAGCAGTACATACACATTTCTTGCAGTGTTTTGGACAAGTTCTGTCAATATTTTTATAAACACTCTTTCTTAAGTAAAGCAGTATGTTTCAGTTTAATGGGATTCAGAAATTGATGTAACTAAAAATATCTTCTTATTGTTATCATGAAAAGCATCTAACCCTTTCACCATTGTAGACCATAATGAACTCATCCAAATAAATGTATGGTAGAGTCTACTAAAGTTACCTAGGGGTGAAAGGGTTCATGACAAAATCACTTGTATGAAGTATGAAGTCTGAGTTTATAATGTTCATAAATAAAACAGGAGTAATGTCATACTTGTGTTTTAATAGAACCCAAACTATTGTAAATGATCATGACTTTGCTTAATCACTAATGAGAAGGATGCATGATTTCTTCTTTTGTTGTTGTAGATTTTTCCAGCGAGTGCTGATAGAAGCTCCTGCTGTGACTGACAATGCTATTCTGATTCTGAAGAAATACTGCTTAGATGAGGTAGACAACAACATTTCAATTTATTAAATTGATTGATGATTATGGATATGGTGAATCCATATGAGGTTCTCCAGATAACTTGACAGAGGAAAGGGTTTCAAGTTTTGAAAAAGTTGTGCATATTAGATCCAATTGTTATGGCAATAAAATATTTTTTCAACTCAAACATGACAGAAAAAAATGTATTCCTCTCTCGAGTTTGTTTACATGTTTGTGTCATACAGTAGCATATTCTCCCAGCTATGCTTCCGACAAAGTATTCACAAAGATTCCAGTTCACAAAATAAACAAATACTTTTGAACATACCTATATTTTTTGAACTGTTTGAAATTGGAACTGATCCATTCTTGAATGACTGCAAAAACCTGATATAGCTGTGGAAGTACATGTGATTTATAGTACAGTATTTCACTTAATATCACTTCTCATTTGTCAGAGGAACACGATATTAACCAGAACGTGACATAAAGATAAAACATGTTTTTCTGTACTGTGAAATCAGACATTTTGGTGAGCCAGAATTTTGTCGTTTCCCCAAAAAAACGTTATTTTATGGGCATATTTTTTTTCTTCCAAGTACTCACAACTTCATTTCAAACTTGTAATTACTTTGTATACCTATAAATTCCTAGATGAAGAGTACCCGAGAAAAAAAAAATCTGATAAATTTCACAGTATTCACTGAAACTGTAATAACAAAAAGTATTTTATGTTTAGAACCGTGTGGTGGCAGGCATGAGCACTCTGAAGGAACTGATCCTGACTCGACCAGTTCACCGGCACCGCTTTCTCAACGTCATGCTGGAGTCATGTTCACATGACAAACCAGAGGTGAGTCATAATGGTTATGACAAAACTGAAACATTATTGTTCAGACAGTAACTGAGGTCAGTTGACCACTTAAAAATATTGTTGAGCTTGAAAAAAAAATCATGGAAAGAAATCTTTTCATCTGCTGGTATTTATTATTAGATGATTATAATTATTTCAGTATTCATAATACCTTTAGAATGTGTGAAGTGATTTTATCGTGGATTAGGAACTGCAAATTTGAATAGTTTTCACTCCATCTTATCGTATGTAAATAATAGGTGACTGAAACATGTCGCACTAGCTTCTGTTTCATTTGAACAAAGAATGAAAAAGTTCTTATTGAGAGTCAGTTCTAGTGAATACATTTGGAAAAACTATATGGTTTATGATATCAAAATTTACCAGTTGCTTGATTTGATATTACACAAGCTGAGATTTGTACTGCTCTGTGATACAGGTTCGATCAACAGCTATCCGGTTCACAAAGAAGCTGTATGAGAAACCACAGATCGCCCCACATATAGAGGTTGGTACAATATATCACTGATAAAGTAAAACCTTCAGTAGAAAATTCAGTCAAACGTTGCTTTTACAGACAGATTCTCCCGGATTGAAGTCAATGAGAAGCATCTCCTAGTGAAGAATCTCAAATAAATTGTGTTAAAACAATTGGTAGCTTTGTCTTAGCTATAATTGTGATTTCTGAAATATGGAAAGAAAATCTTCTGCTGTTTTAAATTTCAAATGGAGCCTGTAGAGAAGACAGAGATAGAGGGAGTGATCAATTGAAATCATTATTATTCTGACAGAAAAACCTGTCTAATCTGACTCCAGAAATTTCTGATTTCCTGTCTTATCCAACATAATCTTATGAAAACAACCAAATAAGACCTGTATTTACTGACATCCTGTCTCGTCTGACCTGTATGTGATGTACCATAGGGTGTTGGACTAGATAGGTTTCACTGTACCGATGAAAACACATTGATGCTTGAGTTCAAAGAAACCTTAAATTTAGAAAAACAAAACAAACTAACAACCTGTTTAATTTTTTAATTTCAGGAATATGCCTCTAAAATGCTGAAATATTTACTATTGCCAAAACCTCCAAGCGAGATGTTTCCGCGATCTAGATCAGGTGAGACGGAAATGTTATGGAGCAATACTTGGATTTCAAGTATTTGAAGTAAACTTGAAGCTATATATGTGTATGTGATGTGTTCCTGATCCCTCATCAATATCATAACATTTAAGGTCAGCGTCACAAGGTTGTAAACGGGGTCAGCGTCACAAGTTTGTAAACGGGTAAACAGCAAATATGCATTGAGAGAAACAGAAAATTAAAAACTGAAAAAGTTCAATAACACTACAGTTGGAGAGATGCAGATCAATTTTGACATCTTTGTTGTGCCCTTAGCAAAAGAGAGAGGGGGGGG